CTCTCTCTCTCTCTCTCTCTTATAGTTGCAATTACATGGACTCCTCTCTGTAGTAAGGGCCTAAATTAGTAGAAACAAACCAACCTGGGAAAGAGTGGGTTTATGTACAGTAGTGGGTTAGATGAGTCCATCTCATTTAGAATCTAATTTAAAAATTTGTGAGCCACCTTTATGGTAATTCAGTTACATATAATCTATCTGATCATTTCCTCGAGTATCAACATCAAACACGACCAAAAAAATATTAAATCAAGAGAAAATAAATAATAATGCAATTTACCTTTGGTATAAGGTTAAAATCACCTTAACCATAAGATGTGAAATCAAATGCCTGAAGGGTATACTATTATTGAAGGTTTCAAAATCCTAAAAAAAAAAAGTTCCCAAACATCATGAGCCGGATCTCACATGTGAGAGCTATCAAAAATTGTAACCTATGTGCCAAAGATAACCGGTCTTATTAACATAGAAGCCCTTTAATCAACACAAAGTTTTGCAAACAATTCGTTAGAAGGATCCAACATCCATCAATGAAAACTTCAAAAGCAAACTTGGGATTGGCTATTCAAAAACGATAATAATATATATATAATAATCAGGAACACTATATATTCATGATAACAAAAAACTAAATGCCCAATAAGATTAAATTCCACTCAAAATCTCCTCACATTATCCCAAAAGAACAGATAAGATTTCAGATAAGTTCACGACAAAGCAACTTGTGGAACAAGGAGATCAATAGTAGCTACCAGCCCGCCTCGGAGCCGGATCAGGCTGAATCGGCTCACCAGTGAAGGGATCAAACTTGTAAGGTGTACCTGTGAAAGGGTCAAACTTCACCTGAGGTTGGCGCTCCGTGCCCGAACCAGTACGAGTTTCTCTCTCCAGGCCCAAACTGCGACCTTCGATATCATAACCCAACCCGATTCGAGTTCCTCTCTCATAACCTGGACCGATGCGAGTGTCTCTCTCAAAACCGGTACCGGCGCGAGATTCTCTCTCAAAATCAGTACCAGCATGAGATTCTCTCTCAAAACCAGTACCGGCACGAGGTTCTCTCTCAAAACCAGAACCCATGCGTGGCTCTCTCTCTAAACCCGAGAGAAAGCTAGTCTCTCTCTCTAAACTTGATCCAAGGTGAGCATCTCTCTCTAAACCAGGGCCAAAGTGAGGTTCTCTCTCCGCAACTTTGCCAAAGCGAGAATCTCGTTCAATGCTTAAGCCACCATAGCCCCCAGAGGATTTTTGTGCAGCTCGGTATGATGAGAGAGAAACTGGGTCACCATTGGTGCTAAGTCTTGCCCTCGGCTTTGGGAGCTCATCTGACAGAGGCGAAGTGTAGGAGGGATAGAGAGATGGTCGTGGGATGTAGCTGTCGAACCTGAAAATTTAGGTTAAAATGGAGAGATCACATCCAGTCCTCTAATTCCAAGGCCTTGTTATCAATGTTTGCATAAAGATATTCTAAACCATTTTCATATTCTCAAGAAAACCACAAAGGCAGAAGAGACTTTAGGAACAGAAAAAGCGCCTTTTGACAATTTGACAATCAAGAGCGCACAGAATGCTCTAGCACACAAGGAACGACAAATCTAAAAATGAGTCATGTACAGAGCCTCCAGAACCCCACAGAGAGAGCGAGAGATCATCTCGAGGAAATAGGTTTAGAGAGAACAAAAAAAATTTGGGAAGAGAAGGAGATATTATAATGATGAAAATAAGAAACTGAAAGAGACGGTGAAACAGACTCGTTCTCTCAAAGCAAATAATTCAATAGAAAAATTATACCAAGTCTCAAGTCGGCCTAACATTGATCAAGCCTACATCAACTCTCAATAAAAAGCACACTGAATACTCTAGCAGACAAGTGATTACAAATCTAAAAATGTGTCATGTTCAGAGCCTCCAGAACCAAAGAGAGAGAGAGAGAGAGAGAGAGATCATCTTGAGGAAGAAGGTTTAAAGAAAAAATTACCGTTGGGAAGAGAAAGGTGGTATTATGATGGTGGAAAATAAGAAACCAAGAGACGCGGTGAAACAGACTGTTCTCTCAAAGCAAATAATCAATAGAAAAATTTCATCAAGTATCAGGTTATCGTAACCTTGATCAAGCCCACATCAACTCTCATGCCTGCTAACTATACTGGAGATATGTCATTTATAATAATTATTTTTGGGCTAAGTAGTTGCTTACTGGAATAAAAACCTACTTGTTATGATACTAACCTAGAAGAAGCAGCATGCAAAGCAAGAGAGTCTGGGGAGCGAGTGCGACCAACACGGACTGAACCAGAATCTCTTTCCACTGATCTTCCCCTCGATAACTGCAGGGGCCTCCTATTCAACCCAGGTCTCTCATCCTCATGCTGCACTTAACAAGTATTGTTAAGGTAATGCATAAAATAGAAAGCCCATTGACTACATACATACAGGGAAAACTTCATCTAATGTTCTGTCCTTAAACTGTAGAAAGAAGGCATGCCTCAGAAATGCATCGAAAAAGGTTGTTTTGATGGTGAAAAAAACCTCTAATTGATCATCATCTTGACATCAAGATGTACGGATGTGGGGAAAAAAATATTTCCACCAAGAATGGTACATCTTGTAATACATTATCTAGATCGTCCATTCTAAGTATTTTCGTATGTTCGTAGATCTGCTCGACCTATACCATTTTTTGAGTTTTAAATTTCATAATTAGATGTGAAGTAGTTTTCCAGGTCGTCATTGAAGTTTCCAACACCAAAATTACATCTTTTGATGAGCTTGGAGGTGCACCTAAATTGGATTGTTTAAGGTTGACACCTTATACAAACCACACCCATGCCTACATACACATATAATTTATGGAAAACACTTACAAACGCTCCTTAGCGAATTTCTAAGGTATTTTGCTCATAGCTTGTCCCCATCCAAAGTCTACCATATGGTCACAGTTGTCTGATAGTATTTGAATTTAATAATTTTTCTACAAATAAAATTCTGATGAAATTTAGAGAGTGTGCTCTTCTAACCAACTCGCACCTAAATAAAATATTTACAACTACTTCTCACAAGCAAACATGATAAAACTACCTGAAATATTTATAGGAGTTGTTTGGTCATTTTTATTATTTGGATTATTTTTTACATTTTATTTAGGCGCGACTCAGTAAGGCACACACCCCTACAAAATTTCAGATTAATCTGATTTTGTAGAAAAATTATTAAAAATAAAAAATTATCAAACGATCATATGACTGTCCGATGGACTTTGGATGGTGATAAGCGAAACACTAATAAAAATTCGCTCAAGTGTTCATGCACACACTGAGGGAAAACCTAACAATAGCTCCATAACCATTTCCGACAGCAATATATATATATATATAGAGAGAGTGTGCCTTAATTGACCCATAAAACTGTCCAATCTTGATTGGATGGTGAGGGTCACCTCCCAACTGTCCAATCTTGATTGGATGGTGAGGGTGTGCCTTAACTGACCCATAAAACTCTCGAATAGCCTCCAATTCTATGTAAATAATATTTGATTTGGAGCTTCATTGAAGCTTCCTTGATCACCATTCAACAAAATGGACAGTTAGATCTCATACAGGGGCGATTGTGGGTTTGGAGCACTTTGCAAGCTTCAAATCAAGATTTTTATGGATGAACTAAATTAGAGTGGAGAAGGCTACTCGGGAACATTTTTGGGTCCTTCAAATATGTAAAAAATGATTTTTCAGGTTGAGGGAAGAACCAAATGGGTGTGCCCCTGGGGAAGTATACCTATTAGTGGTCCCCAAACATGCTCTCTCATGTTTAACGAAGCTTGGATGCCAATAAATAAATAAATGGCAATTATGGGATATAAGGAGCGTTGAAATGGCATACCCCTGAAATTAACCCTGAAAGGTATGCTCCTTTGCCAGGCCTATCTGCATTTTGCATGAACTGAAACACGTGTGATCCACACAATTAATAATTGGGAAGAAAACTTGGTCATGCATTGAGACCAAAACAACAAAAGAGAGGAAAACATGGAAATTAAATTAGAGGAAGAATAGAAAATGATAAAGAACAACAGAAAAGAGGCAGATTTAAAAGTAAAATGACAGATTGAAAACAACAAAAACTGGAGAGGGGTAGTACATACAAAGATAAAGCCCTAAGCACAACAAAAAAAAATGGAAGTGAAAGAACATCAAGAACAGTGTAAAGCCAACCTGATCAAGTACAGAGACAGCTACCACCTCAGAAAGTTCACCAAGACTAGTAATGCACCCTATGTCTAGCTGCCAGAGATAACCCAGTCAGAGAAGTGTAAGGCGCCCAAAAAACCTCAAGGTTCAGAATCAACTAAGTAGCTCATTACAATGAATCACAAAACAATAGGTACTTTCCAAAAAAGTAATTGACCAGATAAAGAGGTATAGAACTCAGAAGCAACAAGAAGAAACAAATACTCACATCATATCTAGTGGCAATACCCAAGCGAAAAATTCGAAGTAGGCGCTCTGTAACTGCAGGTGGCAATGAAAGAACAGCGGCCTCATAAGGATCAGCAGCAACAGGAACCTGCCCCAGTTCAGAAAGTAAATAACAAATTAACATGAATGAAAAGTTCCCAACAGTGCAAAACATGACAAACGCTAGGGTGGCCATGGCATGTTCAGCTAATTTATCCAATGATTTATGGTTAGTATGAAGCCAACAACTCCAGCTTCTTTGTCCCATGATAACATATATTTGTTTACCCATCAGCTGATTTGTCACATGAGAAAATCAGATGTTTACTCATCATCTACGTTGTAAAAATATTTTCCCTCCCCACCCCAATGGATGGGTCCATCAACATAACTGTATTATTCTCTAGTTAAGATTAGCCAGCATTTATTAACATTAAATATCCCAGACATAATTGCAGATAGTAACATAACAACATGCACTTTATATTGTATTTTCTCTTGAAGTGGAAAAGCATATTTGATGTCACTAACGTGTTAAGATAAGTGTTCTAGCACATGCATGACATGTTGGTGCTGTATGGGCAGAAGTAAGGAGATAGACAACAACGCATAGAAAGCAAACCTCTGATCCCTTTGTGAGCCGAGGTGCTTTTGATTTAGAATTATCTGAATATCTATACGATGGGGAGTCCCTAGAGGATTTGAATCTGCCTTCACTCCTATGAGATATTTTTTCTTGAGATTCATCACGAGTCCGCTTCCTATCTCTGTTATCTGGCCTTGCCACTGACACCTTTATTAAGAAAGTTTTACAAATCATGATGATACATTAGAATTCCCAAGAAACCAGTGGCATCATAAAATCCAACTGAAATCAGATATCATGACAGAAAAATTCTTTCAAGAGAAAAATGAATATAAAAATAGAATATCATACTCTAATCTATATGGTTTTTAAAATATTGAGGTTGGGATCAGACCTCCAATGAGAACTTTGTCCCTTTCTCTGGTCCTTCAACAGTCTTTCCATCCAATTCGTTGATTGCATTGTCGAGGTCCTATACCATAAAATCAGAGATGAAGAGTTGAGGAGGAGGAGGAGGGAGGGGGAAGGAAGAAAGAAGAAGAAGAAATCAATCAAAGTCAGATATGAAGAGTTGAGGAGGAGGAGGAGGAGGAGGGAGGGTGAAGGAAGAAAGAAGAAGAAGAAATCAATAAAAATGCAAATAGAAAAGCACAACACTAATGTAATCCATGCATGGAAACAACTCGCCACCAAAAACCAATTGTATAATCATGTATTATTCTGTTCAGATCTACCAATCTCTCATTCAAAGGAATAAATCCATAGTGAGCATGTAACATGCACAATAATTCATATGAGATATGAACCAAAAATGCCGTCTCTAGTAATAAGAAAAATCCCAACGAATTCATGGAAGAATAACTGAATAAGAGAAATGCTGGATAACCAGCTTTTTCACTGTTCAATAACACGTCAAATGTCAAACATGCATAATTTGGCTGAGCGAAAACACATGCAATTTCAATCTTTAAGTGCTCAACATTTAAATGAGCAGAGATTAAGAATCCAATATAAAGGGGGAAAAAATTTAAAAAGATTAAGAATCCAATATAAAGGGGGAAAAAATTTAAAGTATGTCCTAAAAAAAATCACTCCACAAAGAAAAATATATAAAAGGGTAAAAACGGAACAAGGGGAATATTTAATTATTAGTTTAAAATCTAACTATGAAAAGAAACAACTTAATGATACATTAAGCTTATTGATTTCAATCCCATTATCTGAATGACATTGCAGTTTTATTATGCTAGACAAGGAAGCTTAAACTTTCTCTTGACCCTTCCCATGCCCGGGTAAAGGAGCTGGGTTGGGTTAGGTAGAGGCAGCCAACATAAAATTTTGCCCAAACTTATCATGAATCCTAAAAGTGCAACTGGAATTTTAAGTGTCTGCCAAATACCAATGAAGCTGAAAGGCAAGTTCTATAGTACCACTATGAGACTAGCTTTGCTCCATGGAGGGGAATGTTAGGCAGACATGAAAACAATATACTCATAGAATGAGTGCAGCGGAGATGAGGATGTTGAGATGGATGAGTGACAAGACAAAAAGGGATAGAATTCGAAATGAATCCATTCGAGAGAAAATATGAGTGGAATGAGCATCTTTTGAATGCTCCAAATTCAAATTTCAAAACTTTATTATTCTTTTTACATGTCGATTTTACTTGAAATTTTGAATGCTTGTGCACCTTAATAAGGCACACATACAGGAAATATTAAAAGAGTAATTCAAACAGTAACAATGACCAAAATACCCCTACAAATATTTCACGGTATTTTGGTCATTTTTGCTTTGATAATTGATTTTTTTTTTTGTCTGTGTTAGGGAGAGATGCACACATACCCTAAAATATCAGATTAATCTGATTCATAGAAAAAAAAACTAAAAATCACACAATCCCAACTGTCCAATGATAGTTTTGAAATTCAACTTTTGGAATCCGTCACAATTATACTCGATGCCCTCTACCCATTTGATAAAAGAGGAAAGGAGCACTGTAATTTTCATTAATATAGAGGCCATATATTGCCTAATATTTTGGAGTAGAAGTTTCTAAAAGCGCCATTAGGAAATATGGGACATTTATGCTAACATCCCTTATAATTAGCGATATTTAAGAAAAGTCCCCCCATATTTTACATTTTATGACCATGTCTCTTTTTCACGTTTCTTATATTTTTGCAAAAAATCCCCGATTTGGAACTATTTGTTCCAAATCACTCATTGTAACGAATCTTAAGTGGTCCAAAGCTATGGGTTCCAAACAGCTCATTGTAAGGAATCAAAGCAGTCCAGAAGTCTTACTTCTCAATTGCTCATTGTAAGGAACCAAAGTGTTCCAAAACTATTAGTTTGTAACCACTTTGATTCTTTACAAAGATGGAAGGCTAGATCAAAGCGGTCTGGAACTATCAGTTTCAAATCGCTCACTAGAACTCTAGTGATCGGTTCGGTTAATAGTTTTGAACCGAGGTATTGTGGCAAAACTAAAAAAAAGAACATAGTGGTTAAAATGTGAATTGTGAAATAGCAGGTGTTTTTTTAATAACACTAATTATAAGGTGATAACAACCCTCCCCTCCACCAAAAAAAAAAGAAAAGGAGTGGGAGAAGAGCGAATATCACTATGGAAGACTATATATATCACTATGGAAGACTATATAGAAGTCAAATACATTGTTCTCAATGAGTCAATTAGTGATAACTCCTTATGCTGCCCATCTCAAATTGTTAACTATGACACTTATCCTACATGACAAAGTGAGATGAAGATCAATTTGTGGACAATCATTGGTTATAGAGCTCCATGTAGGAAAGAGGCTCCCAGTTCTTTGGAAAGTATTTGTCTACCAACAGTTCTCATGGGAATATTTTGCCAATCCAAACTTGAGGTTAAAATATCTTTGTTTCCGGAGGTAAAGCATCTGGAAGACGGTCTAAGATCCTCTCTATAGTGTACCAATACTGGGAAATTAAAAACTGGCACCAGGCATATCTTTGTAAGTAGGGACTGCTTATTGATTTTCTTTTCTATCAGACAGGCGAGATTGCTTCAATCAGTCTCTTCTGCAATCAAACTAGTATGAAATCTCTTCAGGCCATTGATCGCAGCCAATATTTCATTTTCTGCTGGCTAATAATTTAGCTCAAATTTTTAAATATGCTACTAGTATATCCACATGTGCTTACTCCTTTTCATCCTTTTTTAACAGAACGACAGCCCACAAATAATTGTTAGCATTAGCAGCTAATTCAAACGGTCCTTCGTTTGCAGGTTTTAAAGGAGGTAAATATTGGACCATTTGTTTTAGTTTCTGAGCTTCCTATGTGGCCCATTTGGAGGGCTGGTTACTTTAAGCCCCCTTATCTCATTCACTTCAGTGAGTTCAAAGCTGCCAGTGTTGCCAAAAGAGAACCCTTTGCTTTCTTCACAATGAAAGAATACAAGTCCATTTTAGAAGAATTAGAAGATGAATCATCGAATATGAGGTTTTCACTTTCCGAAAATTTATTCATTTGACAAAAAGGAAAAGATGAATGTAATTTTCATTAATATAAGGGCAATCTATTGTCCAAAATTTTGGAGTAGAGGTTATAAATTCACCACTAGGATGGTGCATTCTAGAATAACCATAATGTATGTATGTATGTATGTATGCAACAAGATGAGTATGATTGGTTGAGAAATCGAACCATATATGTATGTATATGAATATATATATATATATATATATATATACATGCCTATGGGTGAGATGCTATAGGGTTCTCACCCATAGAGCCATGGCCGTCCGTTTTTTTAGGGCGGCGAGGATTTTTCGATTGCCATAAACATAGCATGTCCCTGACGATCAAAATCTGCGGAAACCGCCATGGACCACGTGCCGTCCGTTGCGGCTCCGTTCAATAAACCGCCACAGACATAGCAAGTCCGTGACAGTGGCGAACACTATTCATTTTCGCCTATAGGTGTTTTTCAGCTTTTTCCGTGTGTGTGTGTGTGTGTGCGCGCGCGCGCGCGATGAGGAGTATGATTGATGTATGTATGTATATGTAAATATATGATTGGGAAATCAAACCAAACAAAGTTATAGGCAGGAACTCACAAGTACGCTACCTCTTCTATATGTTTAGGTAAATAACAAAAATATTTATCGTAAAATAAATGAAAGTTCAATACATAATGGGTGTGGTTTCTATAAGGTTGCAACCTTAAATAATCCAATTAAGGCGCACCTTGAAATTTTATCATAATATGTAATTTTGGTATAAAAAATTCTTAGGATTATCTGAAAATCTATTTTTATATCTAATTATAAAATTTTAAACTCCAAAAATGGTTAAAATCAAGTAGATCTATAAACATATGAAAATATTGAAAATGGACGGTCTAGATAATGTGATGCAAGATGCACTATTTCTGGGACTCAAAATCTTTTCTTTTTATCATATTCATACATCTCGATGTCGAGATGATCAATTAGAGGGTTTTTAATATTAAAACAACATTTTCCGATGGATTTTTAGGTGCATCTTTATTTCCACATTTTAAGGTTGCAACTTTTTCCATACATAATTTAATATGCAGTGCCTTTGAGAGAGAGAGATGGTGTAGGAGGAAATATCAAAAAGGAAACTTCCAAGTACATTATAGATATCTTGAGGGAGTAGCAGCTGAGAACAGATTCTAATAATTGAGCTTTTATTCACTTAAGCGTGCTCGTATTTGATAAAATCAGTATAGATACAGGCAGTTAGAGCCAAAACCTTACCGACAACCTCGTGAACAAGCCAAAACGTTGTTTATGAGTTGAAACTGTCCAACATCAGTTCCTAAAACCCATTTGGCAGAAATAAATACCTATAATAGGTAAAACTCATCGTATACATGACAGCCCTCAAAAGATTCACAGCAGGTTTTAAAAAAATTCCAGGCAGCTTCTCCTAGTAGATATCAAATTGCACCTTTAATTACCCATGGATATAAATGCCATGTCCTGTTATATAAGTCGCCAATTTCGACGTTTTCAAATTTTGTAAACTAGGTACCAAGGGCTATATATTTGTAGATTAGATGCCTAAGTAGGATTTATATTCAATATTTGTAGAGTAGATGCATAAGCAGGTAACAGCAAATAGAATTGACAGGTGTTTCCTTTCCTTTCACTTTTCGTTTTATAATTCATGTGTAACATAATTAACAGTGAAAGACATGTAACTAGTAACTACCCATGGAACCATGCTCAGCAAAATTACACCCCTCTCACTAAAAAGATGCAACAGAAAGAATGTATCTAGTTATGTTATGTCAATTGCTCTTGTTGGATCAAACTCCACTTAATTGAAATATTTTCCAAAAGCCAAGCAAAGTCCTTAAATATCGATGTCAACAAAAAAGCATATATTTTTTTGAGCAAGTAACGATAATCACATCAAACTTTCAACAAACACTACTGGAACTTTAGAGAGAGGCACAATGAATGCTAATGTCAACTTACAGAGCGTTTAGCAAAGTGAACAAATCCCACAGGCACACCACTCTTTCGAGATACAGCAACTCTTACCAACTAACATGAACAAATATAGTAATAATAAGGATCACTTGAGGAAATGAACACACCCAAAGCCATTGAATCCATGATAATGAACTTACAATGAAGCACAGCATACATTACCTTCCCAAATGGATTAAACAACCTTTCTAGATGCTCCTCATTGATGTTGTTGGGGAGGTTTGCAACAAATGCAATCTTTACCTGATATTTTAAGGAAAATGGAATAATGGAGAATGAACATAAGTTAACATAAGTAGCTATACTCCAATGACAAAGATAATCGAGCAAATTGCAACAACCTTGGCCAGTTCTTCTGGATCAACATCAGTTTCCCTATCGGCCCAATCAACACTAGGGTGCCATTTACCTCCAAGGAGAAAATCTGGCTGGTTTCCCACTCGATGCGCACGTGCTGCAGCCTGTGATTGAATTTTAGGACTGGATCAAATACGTAGGTCCTAGGGTGGCATTATTGGTATGTACGGAATTGATAAACACTCCTCAAATTTAAGAGAAGATGTGATCAAGGCTGCATGAACTGGTAACAGGAGAAAGGCATGGAAAGGAATGATCGCTGATAGGATAGATTAAAGATATGACCACCAGTTTGGCAAATGATTGAAAAAAATAATAATCTTTGACCACCAGATTTCATGGTCAATCAATGGCCGGTAACAACACAAACTTGAATAACCTCCAGAAAACCCACAAGATAAGATTGGCTGTTGTCTAACAGCCACCCCACCCATCGCCTCATTTCATAACATCCATTGGACTCTAAGATGAGAGCACAGGCAATGGCCAGCATATCTCAATGAGCATGAAATATCAATTCAGATTGTACAATGGAACACGGTAAAAGCAAATATATTTCACCAATTTTCTGCATAAAGTAGATGATAAGTATGACTTTTTAGATGTTAATTGCACTGATCAAAAGGAATTTGGCGCCAGAGTATCTCAAAAGAGTAAAGTTAAAGATCTATTAGAAGGACAAGTACAGGGCAACAGAAAAATAGACAGTTGACCTGGTAACATCTGAGTGTGGAATGGGAATTGCTACTGCTTAACACCACCAACTGACCATAAATAGTAAGTAAAGCCCAACAATAGACACCAATGTCTCAAGTTTAAGGACAGACCAGGAGACAAATTGCAGCCACATGTCATTTTTCTTTTATTGAACAAATTAATATAATAAACAAAGTAAGAATGCAAGATGATAAGGTTATGAACAAAATAAGAGAACAATCAGCACTAGAGTGCCATAAAACTTCACCAATTTCATTGCACTCCGAAGAAAGGGCAGCCTCTTGTTTGGAAGATAGAAGCAACTGTATGAGATTGCAACATAACGCGTATACAGATAGATGTGTACGAAAATAATGATGCAAAGTGGATCTCTCAATGCAAAAACCGAGTGAGAAGAAAAGAATTCTAGCTAAAAACGTTCAGAGGATGGAAAACAACATTGTCGCCATGTGGTATTGAACTTTATGGTAGTCAGTCATTGCATCAGACACTGGTTTCCCACAGCAGGGAATGCCAATGAACTGTATTCGATTACTGATAGTATGGAAAGAGGCCATGAATGACAATATCTAAATGAACAGCCTAGCATCCACCCTCTCGTAAATGCATACTCAGATCAGATGCAAGAGAAGACCTATCTGAGAGGACCCCAGCCTTGTAACTGAGAATCCTGTCAGCAGAGCTTTAGGCTTGTAATGCGTTATCATTCAAATCTATTTCAGCATCATATGCCGAATTTTCAGCCAAAACTTGGCCATAATTTTAACAAAGGCATGAATCCTTTATAAAACAAAGTAGACACAAACATGAACAGAAAATTTCAATATTTAATTGTAATATACATGGAAATTAGAGATTCCAGATTTGACACATCAATGCCCAGTGATCACTCGTGGATATTTTCTTCCCACAAGTACCAATCGTGCCGAATTTAAGAGAGAATTGGGTTTGTCTGGTTGGCGTCAACATGTGATTGAATATTCCAGAACTCATTCTTCAAAACTCATTTGTATGGGTCACAAGGGGATGCTAATGACTCAAAACAGATATAATTCCAGGGAGAAGTATGATCTCACCAGAGGATGTCATCATGAATAGTGAGTACTTATCCTGCAGTCCCACACCCAAACATTACAAAGAGTTATGTGCTGTGATGACCAGAAGTAACCAGCACTATTACATGACCCAGGCATCTGTGAACTCTATGCATAAATTTCCCAAGTCCCTAGAAGCTCCTCACGGGTAATAAGTTCTTAACATTTTTGAAATAATGGATGATAGCAATAGACCAATTCAATGCAAAGAACCTAACCCCACCATCCAAGTATATAAACAGGCTGGTTCAACAGGTTGCACGCAATTCATATCATAACCCAGCTCTGAATGGGATTACCATACATGATACAGTTATAGTCAAAACAACCTCTTGAGCTAGGTTGGTGAAGGTTTAGAACAAGGGTAGTAATGTAAAATACCAGCATACCCTTAGGAATGTTCTCAAAAAAATAGATGAAGAAATAAAGCAATTATTTAGGCCAAGGAACAGATTCATAAGGATAAATGAAAGCTGATTCACCGATTAAAATAAAAGGTCAAGGATTGGCAACTAATTCCCACTTCATATAATAAATTTAGATAGTCAACTACTTAGAACCTTTCACAAAAGCTTAGAAATAAATAATAAATCAAAACCCACAGGATCAACTGGATAAAATAAATCAGACACAGCTTAGAAACAGCATGCCACAATCTGCTACAGAAACTAAACCACTATAAGTATTGCCAAAGAGTGCCACAAATTTGGTAATGATGGGGAGATTGAAGATCAGAATCATAGAGAATCTCGGCCATGGAATTTCTCAAGAAGTCACCCCGTAACTCATTCTAACCAATAGATGGCAGCCTAAATGCATAATACCCATAAGGGAACCGAATAAGTTAAAAATATGATCATTGATGGCATAGTCCAGGTTAAGGGGCGTACAGATACACAGAGACCCAGGATTAGCATGTAATCTAAGCTTGGAAGTGGCACTTACCAGGAGCCAATTTCAGGTGTCAAACAAAATGGACTAAATTTCTCATCAATAAACATGGTACATTGTCTTCCACATATCATAGCTAACAGATTCCATAAGCCAGTAATAGGTGGGGCAACTTACAGTCTCATTAGAAAATGTCAAAATCTCACCCCCGTAATTGCATGTGCCATTCTTACAGGTTCCGTTAAAAAAAAGGAGCTTGACTGCCAAATTTATTCTCACTAGAACAAGAGCTCAACACACAGCAGAAGATCCATTTTCTAAGTCAGTAATGGGCGTGAGGATCCATAGGCACTCATCTATCACCATCCGTGTCTCATTTTTGGTGAAAATTTCAATGATTCAAATCATTGATCTAAACACCTCAATATATTCCAGAGCCAATAGTTCAGAGGTAAACAGAAATGCAAGTACCAGACTTTTGATTCCATGCTCACATCTCTAACTCCCTCAAAAGATTGAGAAGCAAAATAGGCCAACAATTAAATGGATTGGTGTTAGAATTCCAATCAGGTTTCTTGTTCACGTATGAACTTTGGCACAATAAACAAGAGATGATGAAACTGTACAGTACCACACCAAATGGAGAAGCCACTACGTCATTTTGATGGGCCATTCATACTTCCACATATTCAGAACCATGGAAAGGCCAATGTCCAACCTTCCTACTTAAAAGTATTGGGAGTTGATCCTGCTCGCGAAGTGATGAGCACATGGTTCCAAGTCCAAAGTACAAACCACAAACAGCATATGTGATAAGCAAGGAAAGTAAGCATGACACTAAATTTCACCAATTTCTAAGAATAGAAGACTGAATTTCAGGTAGAAGAATTATGTTAAATTAAGGTACAATGGATGGCAAACACCAAAACAACCATGGAACCACGATCATTGTAATCAAAGCCATGAAAAGAAAACCTTCTGTTTAGAGGGAGAGTAGCTATACAAAATAGAGTATTCAGGAGTCTGGAAGAATAACCATATGTAATAGCTATGAGCTGGAGTTCTTTTCTTATCTCGAAATCTTACAGGAAGTTGGGAACTGATTCAAGATAGACTTAACAGCAATTTTCCTCAAGTGTAAATATCTAGTGAACAGGTAAATACAGTTCTTAGAAAATGACATACGAAAAGTAAGGAAGTACAAATGAAAGATGATTTCACAAAATAAAGAATGATTCCCTTATCTAAAAGAATTCGTATTAACAATGAATTGCCACAGTTGCAAATGACCACGATTTAGCATTCACATGACTAAGATATGACGTTGGGAACTTTGCAATTGAGGTGAATAACTTGGAAATAAAGGAGCACTTGAGGCAGCAATTAGCACGTCGAACGTATGTTTCTGTGACAGCCAATAAACCAAATCAAAAGGGTATGCCAGAATCAGTAATATCTCAAACTAATAAGGTATATGCACATTACATACAACCAGAAGTTCTAGATCAAAGATCCAAGGACAGAAATCACAAAATTATGGTAGAAGAAGTGCCATCTGTGTGCCAGAATGTTTCATTGAATATAGATCGCATAAGTAAAGTGGAGGAGCAACAACTGAGAACTCACTGCATGAGAGGGAAATCGCACAAATGCGAATCCCCGGTTCTGGCGCCTTCTGTCAGAAGAACCCGTACTGCTAGGAGGCATTGCCAGATCAATCGCTACAACATCCTCAAAAACCTACAATCAGAAAATTCATTCTGAACAAAGAGCCACCAGAATAACAACACAAAGAATGGAAATTTTATAGTAGGCATTTTACCTCACGAATCATTTTATCTAATTCCTCGAAGCCCCATTCTGAAACAGAGAGATGAAAACAACACTTAAGAATTTTTAGATTAATATAGTAACATTACAAAATACTTGGACCTCGATATATTTATTTTGTGATAGAGAGAGGGAGGGAGAGTGGGAGGGAAGAGGAGAGGAGAGACAGAGAGAGAGAGAGAGACCAACCTTTGCGAAGGTTACCCAAAAACAAGGAATCCTGATCTGATGATGGAGCAACACCAATTCTCTTCCCTAGTAGCTGTAGTGTGGGGACCATTCCAATTGGTAAGTGAAACAAGATATTTCAAACTGGCAGAAAGCCCAAACTACTATGTACTATTAAACCCTTTGTTAAAATTTGTGTAGTTTTCAAGACCACAGATATGTCAAACAGAAGCCCTTACACAAAATGAAATTTGTAAGAGAAAAGAGAGAGCTGTCTGAACACTGTTATTAAAGGAAAGAAACCATTGTCTTGCCTCGACAGGGCTCACCCAAGGCATCAAATTAGGGGTCCAACTCAATTGAAACCAAGCATGGCTCTCCAATCACCGAATTGTGAAGAGAATAAGTAAGATTTCTCCATTTCCAGGATTCATTCTCTCTTGTTCTGCAATTGTGATGACCTTGACATATGTTCCAGAAAATCCCATCAATTTTGGATCTCCAATCGCAGGATGTGTGACTAACGAGTATATACTTTATGTTTACTACCCAAAAGGAAAATAGATAGTTTCTATTTTTTTACAATTGTTGCTTTTATTCTTCAACTATTTTTGAACATTGACATACACAACAGAAATGAACTGCCTCCTCCTCTATTAAAAGTAACGAAATCAGGGTAAAAGTAGCAGCAGATGACAGGGCCAGACATTCCAAAAATTCTATGCAAATAAACTAGCTAATAGAACAATATCACTCTAGTTCATATGCATAGTAGACAAATCCAAAGATGAATTTCATTTTTCTAAAATAGATAGGGCAACTTAAATAAGGAAATGCAATTTTTTTTTTTTCGCCCTGACATGTTAACAAGGTAGAAATGGAACCATTGATGTGACATTGTTGCTCTGCCAGTATGACCATGCAGGCCAAGGGCCCATTCCTATAAAGAAACATAACTCAAAGCCACAAAAACTGGAACATGCGCATTTGATCTCAAATAAGGCCAGGAACTAAAAAGACAACAAGTACAGACAAAAATGCTTTACACTATACAGGATTCAGAATTCCCACTTACCAGAGTCTGGTCTTTTTCCTTTTGGGCCCTCAAAGCAGCTTGTTTGGTAGTGTACCTTACAAAGCAGAAACCCTGTAAAGAAAAGGCAAATACTATAACTGGTTGCAAGGGTCACTGATGAAAATGAAAAGAAGGATAAACAATAAACCCCACACATATGCACATGCATGCACGTCAATTCACACACCCACAAAAAAGGAAAAAAAAAAGAAACGAATACAATGATTAATTGAATAGTGCACAAGGATCAATAGATTCAAAACCTTTGGGATGCCACTCTTATCCTTCATCAGACGAATCTCTGCAATTTCTCCAAATGCAGAGAAAACCTGTAAACACAACAAAATTATCAGTGTAATACATCATAACAAGGACCTTAATAGTAAAAAAACACCATCTTCAATTTCAAAGCAATACTCATAGATTAATAACACATAATCCTCTGTAAAACCACACAGATGATACCTATTCAAAAAAAAAAAAACCCAAACAGATGATAAACAAAAAAAAACTCAAACCCTACAAATGACACTATCAATAATCTATCACTGGGATCATGATATTGGCTAACTGGGATCATTGTGGTCATACTTCTCTATTGTATTTCCTCTTGTCTAGTTGTGGTTATGTTCATGTGCCAATATTGAGTATGGCATACCTAGTTTGGATTTGATAGTTGGAGGCTAATAAACCATGGACTTGTTTTTTTTTTTTTACTTTTTTCACTAAATTTTCGATGATTTGAAGTTTTTAATGCATTTCAAAATTCAAGCATATATATTTGCATGGCAAAAGTAAGATAGAAATTAGAAAACATATAAATACAAAATCAACACAAATGTATACATATAAGTGCTTCTGAACAACACATATATGCAAGTTTTCACCTCAGGGCGACTGGGCGTTGGGCGACAGGTAGGCCGCCTAGCATTTTTTAAAACTCTAGGGCGAGTTCTAGGGCCGCTTGCCCCACCCATATTAAGGAGGGAAAAAATATAAAAATAGAAAAATAATGTCAAAATTTTGAAAAACACCACCATATTAGTTTTTTGGATGATTTTGATAGTTTTTAAGGTGATTTATGAACTTTCATATTTTTTCCCTTTTTAAAAATTTTCAGATTTATTTTTTTATCTGAATCAAAATTTTCAATAATCCATCCCTTATAGAGTTTTTGTATACCTCTAATGATTTCTAGTATATCTTTTATGTTTTTTTCTTAATTTTTAGCTTTTTTATTTTTCTATGTTTTTTCTTTTGTGTGTGTGACTGTGTTTTTTCGGTTGGGGGAGGGGGGGGATGGGGGTTTGGATTGTGCGGGACTCAGCTGAGTCCACTTGGTCGGCTAAGGCGCCAAGTCCCCTGGCCATGCCGAATTTCTGAACACTAGTTTGGACTGAGTCGAGTCTATGACAGATTCGATCAACTCTGTTAGACCTGACTTAGCCTAGGGAACCTAGCAAGTGCCAACCCGAGTGCTTGTCTTTTTACATCGGTTTCACCTGTTGTCACACTATTGTTAGCCATTTTAACTATAAAAGAAAAATTGGGAGTAAATTAACCAATATGTTTAGAACATAAAGGGTAGAAACCAAACCTCCTTAATTATTTTCTCAGTTACACTACGAGGCATGCCTCCAATAAAAATCTCGGAACCCTTCACTCGACGATCTGTTCAATCCGCAAAACCAATTTTCGGGAATTATCAATGTCGAAAAATTGCATGTAGGGTTAAAGGATAAGGTACTTTCAATCATTTAGTATCTTATACTCTAAGTTATGACTTATAACATAACAAATAAGATCAAATGAAAACTAGGAAATGAAGCATTTTCAAGCTTATAAGAGAAAGAAAAAGACCAGAGAAAGAGTGAGGAATTACCATGTTCATGCCCAGAATGATCTGGTAAACGATTTCTCTGCAATTAAACGTTAGAAATAATATTAGATTCACCTTAGAAAGTTGAAGAAAATAGATCAAAGTCTTAAAAAACAAATTAATTTAAAAAAGCCAGCTGAACTAAGCCACCAAGCAATAGCATCTTAAGGTATTAAACAATGAAGCAAGACGATAACTCCTATATATCTAACATAAAACGCATATGTGTGTATGTTGACACGGGCTAGAAACCCTAAAAATTATTCATGGAAACAAAGGTTCAACCTCCAACTAAAACCAGATTTAAATTGCGGGAAAATTCGGTCTACACTCTAGACATCAGCTTAACAATGGGTAATGAAAATGAAAATGAAAAAAGGAATCTTACTAAGCGAAAACACTAAGAAAATTTGGAAGATAGCTACAGAGAGACGGAGAAATGGGAAAAAGAAACATGAAGCGCAGAGAAAGGAAGTTTGGGGAAGAGAGAGAATTGAGGACGAGGCAAAACAAGCTTAAAAAAAGGAATTGAATTGAGGATGGAGATTGAATTTACACACCTGAGCCATTGCAGAGCTTGAGTGAAGTAAGCGCGCTTCAGAGGAAATAACACCCTAATTAAGATTCTCACTACACAGTGCTGGTTCTACAAATCAGGATGATCAAGGAACCCAGGAAATTTAAGAGAGAGAGGACGCGGAAAGAAATTGACTTTTCGTGGAAATTTGCGCTGCGCGGGAGGAATGTAGAGAGAGAAAGCGAACGTGTGGTCGGGAACTGTGGAGAGAGATTGTCCGAAAACTCAAACAGAGAGAGAGGAAAACGCAGAGACGGGGAAAAGTAGAGAGAGAGAGAGGAAGGGAAACGTAGAGAGAGAGAAAGGAAAGAGAGAGAGAGAGAGGGAAACGTAGAGAGAGAGAGGGGAAGTAGAGAGAGAAAGGGAGAACGTAGAGAGAGAGAGGGAAATATAGTGAGAGAAGAAAGAGGAAAATGCATAGTGACGAGGAATAATACGTTTGGACACCTTTTCTATGAGTCCTTGTAGAAATAAGTTCTCTCTCAATAATCTATTTTTGAGATCGATATTTTACCTAATTTTTAAATGGGTGTTGTTTGTATAGAGCCGAGGTTCTAAACAATCAAAGTAAATCGTATCTTTAAATAGTATCGAGAAATTCAGTTTTAATATTAAAAATCTGATCTGTGTGATAGCCTTAAATATATTTTTGATTTTAGTTATAAAATTTAAAATTTTAAAAATAGCGTAAATCCAGCAGATCTATGAAAATTTAAAAACCTTGAAAATTGACGTCCAAAAATACATTATAAGATGCACTATTCCAAAATTTGAAATCCATTTTTTTCTCATGTCCATGCATCTTGATGTCGAGATGATCAATTTGAGGATATTTGGGCATCAAAACAACCGTTTCTAGTGAAATTTTTGAGGTGGGCTCTAATTTGATTGTTTAGAGCCTCGGCTCTATATAAACTTTTTTCTTTTTAAATACATGTGGTGGATTATGAATATGAAAAAATAAAAAAAATTAAAAATAATACTTCTATTGAGAAAGAATTTGAACCGTTAATTTCAATTATTTTTAGATTGACCGCAAATGTAGAAATACGGCTCCCCATGAAACAATTTTCCATATCTTTTGCGAAAATTCACTCCTTTTACAATTGCTTAGTCCCATGATGTCATTTCATTTCTAAACAGTGTAGTAACAAACCCTATCGCAAAAAATTTAGATAGAAAAACTATTTTAAATTTTAAGTTTTAGAGAGAAAAAATATATTAAAATTTTAGAGAGACAAACTATATCAAATTTTAGCAAGAGAAACTATCTCAAAGTTTTGAGTGAGGGGGAGATAGAGACTATCACAAGTTTTGAGTTTTAGAGAGACAATATATTAAAAATTAAATAAAAAACACTATATCAAATATTATTACCAAACAATAGACATGGAAATGATGGTAAGGAATGAATGAAATTTATATTGTACATCAAAACAAAATATTTGAAGAATCTATGATAAGAATATTCATAGAACCTTTTGAATTTCAAATATCTAAATTCTTAATTTTGTATAAATTTATATTATATATCCAAACAAAAGATTTGAAAAATCTATGATAAGAATTCTTAATATTAAAAATCCGTAGATTTTTTTGAATTTCAAATACCTAAAATTCTTGATTTCCTCTTGTCCACACGGCCCTCAAAAGAAAATGGGGTTCTTTATTTAACTCTCTAGATTTTATGCTCGCGCGAGATTATACCTCTGCCTGCGCTCCACTCCGTGCGAGATTACACTGTTTGTTTGCGCTCCACTCTGAATTATTGATAAAACTTTTAGTAAAGGGAAAAGTTTATATAGAGCCGAGGCTCCAGTCAATCTAATTAGAGCCGACCTCAAAATTTTCACTAGAAGAGTGCCTAAATATCCTCAAATTGATCATCTCGACATCAAGATGCATGGACATGAGAAGAAAATGGACTTCATGTTTTAGAAATAGTGTATTTTGTAACGCATTTTTTTACCGTAATTGTCAATATTTTCAAGTTTTTATAAATATCTCAATCTACATTATTTTTAAAGCTTTAAATTTTCTAAATAAAAATAAAATATATTTCAAGGCTATGAAAAAGATTTCAAGTATTGAAACCACATTTCTCAATCCTATTTGAAGGTAGGCTCTAATTTGATTGTTTAGAGCCTAGGCTCTATAAAAACCTCACCCTTTAGTAAAACCGCCTAGTATACATTCAAGCCACCAACCAATTGTTATTTTATTTCCAGGTGATATGTAACGATCCTAAATTCCTTATAACCAGCGTTTAAAAAATCGCCGAGTTGAACCAGACTCGCCCGATTCGACTCGGAATTCACGAAAAAGGAACCGGATC